AAACGTCTTGAATATTGTTTGTGGACATCTTAGGGTCGAATTAAAGATGTCTACGAAACCTTCCCACAGAATTCGTTTCTCAACTTTCACATTCAATTTATAAGTTACTGGAAACCATTTAAAATTCTACATAATACTTTAGAACTTCAATAAGCCCTTTGGAAAGTTCAAAACACTTTGAATTCAATTCAGAATTTCGAAAAGCATTCTGTAGCGTTTCAGAACAATTTGGAAACTTCAGAACCATTTTAGAATGCTTCAAAGACATTCAAAAACCGATTTACAATTATTTCCAAAAACATCTTAGAATAATTGAAAAGTTTGAAACCCATTTTAGGACGTTTAAAACACTCAAACGACAAACACTCTAGATTTTCCAGAAACAAAACTTGAAAAGCGCAAGAATCTTAGGATTCAAGTTAAAAGTTACACTAATGATTTAATGAATAAATTTTGTGTTTTCGTTTACAAGAAATTAAGAATTTGAGAGCCTAGCGTTTGGAATAGACAAAAATTGAAAGCTATGAAATGAGTAATAATAATGAAATATTACTCCTGAAGACGTGTTAGGCAGACGTCTGAAAGACGTTAGATTTTGTAACATATTCGCTAAAAGGAAAAGGGGTACCAGTTCATCCCAGTTTCGTTAGTCATCATCCTAAACCATCAAGAGGTATTGATTGATGGTTTAATTATGCCTCTCGATTATCGCGAAGGACTGTCGATGAATTGGAGTCGTTCTCGTTTTCCTTATTCCCAGTAATCGCATCACTAGTTACTTTGGCCTCAAAATTCCTTCCTTGAAACGCTTCTTGATTGAGAATTGGAAGAATTTCTGGCCAATATTTGAAAAGTAGTACAGCAACCATGAAGTTTTCGCGAATCTGTTGTAGGAAAAAAACCTACAATATCCATTGTAAATCTCACCCAGGGAGAACCGGACAAGTACTGCTTCATTGTTCCTCGAAATCGTCTTATTTCTACGAAGCACATAGATCGAATATTTTGCACCATTTTTTAACATCCATACGAAAGTAGTTGATCCATTAATAGCGATCTCTTAATCGAGCCAACGTCCTATTGACTCTAAAGTGACTACCTACCACTCCGACTACTGTGCATTTCACTTAGGACTTTCTCCAGCATGTTCCGTGGCACAACGGTCTGATATACTAGATTTTTCCTATCCGGACTCTCCCATTTACGAGTGATTAAGTCATCTTGCAGCCACAACAAATCCTATTGGAACCAGTACCTATCTATTTACGGTTGATCTGAAATTTCTTGCCAGCCAGATTGGTATATCCGCCAGTCACACTTTCTTGGTAATGAGAAATCAGGTGTGAGAGCACTTCAAATTCTTGGTACTTTGTAAAAATTTTAAAATGACATTCACTAGTAATTCAGGTTTCTCATGCAATGAACAACAAGGATAGTTTATTAAGTATTCTGCAATAAAGAAAGAATATGATGCGCTACTTAGGTGTGAAATGAATCAATTGGATTGGTTCCGCTTGTCAAATGGTGCAATTTAGGGTATGTTCCTGTTTTTGTTTATTTTTAAACGTGAATATGTGGGAAAAAGTTTAGTAGAGTTTGTGAACTACGAGTTTCCAAGTGCTAGCAGATTTGTCACCACGGAAAGATGGACAAAAAGACAAATTAATCGAGACCTTTTGCACCTCTACTTTTGATGCCATTTTACTTTAGGTATCGCTTATTTCGGGCATGCGCATTGACAAGGAAATACCGGAATCCCTTACTAACCGATAAAGTTTGACGTTACCTGCGAGTGAATACGGTATCCCGTATCAACGCTGATAATCGAACATGGTTGCCTTTAGTAAAGCGTTAGGATGAAAAATGAAATATAAAAAATAATTTCTCGAATGCATAATGTTCTGTATCTTGTTTGATTGAAAAACAAGTGGCAATTTTCGCTTTATTCGCCTCTTTTGGCCGTATTCTGTAAGATAAGTAGAAAAAATGTACTTGCGCTGGCAACCGCGTATATATGTTTCAAGCCATTGTGATCCCCCGGATTTTGAAACTTCTTATTTTATCGCGAGAAGCTTGAAATTATAGATCTAGGCCAAGATGCCACCGGCGCCTCAGAAAAACGTCCAAAACATTTTCAAAGAAAAAACTTCCTGCAGATAACCTTACTTTCACTAAACGTCGAATAGCGTGTAAACAAGAACTAGGGACGGCTTGCAAAAACTAAAAATTCTGCTTTAAAAATAACACGACGCAAGCTACGTCACAACACGTTAATAAGCAATAAAGTCACCTACGGATGATTTTTCACAAGAGGTGCAAAAGGTCTCTAATAACTCCAGGACACAGGTTTATCTGCTGACCGTAAACTGTCAAATTTTCACCTGCAACCACAAGCGTCGCGCGCAGCACAGCACAGGTAAAATGAGAAAGGTGAATGCGTACTTATATCGTCGGCACGTATTCGTACATAAATAAAAGCAGTAATTTCCGCACTCTGTAATGTAAGCTGAAAACAGCCAAACAGCGTGACAACATCCAAGATCATCTAATTCACGAGAAAATAATCAGTTGTAATAATCTATGTTGATAACTGCTGGACTGATCACCGAATTGTTATGTTTTATGACTCTGCAAATAAGTACTTACCACCAAAACGATGAAAACAAAGAAAGCGACCACCCACAACTCAGGTTAAATATTCAGCGACTGATATATGGGGACATCAAAACAAACTTCTAGTTCCTACTTAATGAGAAACTGTCTGCTGATTATCCCGAGGAAATTTAACAGCACTGGTCAATGCTTAAAACAGCTATGCTGACAGCCTGCGAAGAATCAACGGGTTTCTTCACAAATAAGAGACATCACCGGTTGGTTTGATGGGAACAATAAAGAAATTCAGAACGTCTGAAGAAGAAATAAACCTATATTCGTGCAAAGCCTGAAGGACACAGAAGGATAAGAATACTAGAAAAAACAGTGGTATATATTTAAGTCAATTATTGAATTGGAACATTTAGCAGCCACCAACAACACCAGAGCATTCTTCACCGCCACAAAAGCAACCTATAGTCCATATAAAAGGTTCAATCCTCTTAGATCTACGGACTCAGCGACTCAATGATCCTGCTTCTGTTAAGTCCCGATCAATGAGGAGCATTTTCAGAAACTCTTGAAGAGAGATTCCAACGTAGATGATGAGGTACCTATTCAATAAAGTCCCCGGAAACCCCATTCAAATCCATCTGATCCAACTGGCCAATGTAGCAAAGAAGGGTAATTTAAACGATACAAAGATCTCATCAATGGGCGCCTGGGAGGCCCCAACGGACTCTCCATTTGTTTTTGAAAATTATATCTATCAGTATTTCGAACGACAAAAGCGAGGGGATGCGGAGGACAAACGAAATCCTAGAAAAGAACGAGAACGTCTGATAAAAGCTGGTTTACAATAGCGACCAGCTACCGCTGATTGGGTGTGCAATGAATCTGATAATGATGTTGTCAAGATGTTTATTACTCGTTAGCGAGTGAATGCCTATGATGAAGGATGAAGATGATAATGATTTTTAAATACTTACTAAAATAATATTCGGGCCTATTCTGTAACTCAAATCGAATCGACAATCGAAATCTGGAATCGATAACTGTGGGAAAATGTCCACAGTTATCGATTCAAGTTTTCAATTGTCGATTCGATTTGAGTTAGAGAATAGACCCGATTATCTCAATTAGGTAACAGCTTAGATACAAATCTCGTCAAAATATTTATTTTTCATGATTGATAAAAACTAGAAATGCGACCAACTATTTATTCGTCACGCGACCCCTTATACGCGACTTGGCCGCTAATGCACAAAAGCCTTAAGGCCGTAAATGTCATTCTAACATTTTTATAACGTGATGCGAATTTGAAGTGCTCTCACAACTGATATCTTTTAACTTACCATAATTCGAAAATGGCTTGTTGGATTTTTCATGTGCCAATGATAATTTTTGTTTAGAATGTCCAGGAACACAACATATCCAAATTTTAGATAATTTCACCAAAAGCCATTTTCCATAAGATTAGTGCGAGGTCCTTTACAAGAGTTGTTAATACATGGCCTTCGTGATAGGCTGTCCGCGTTCTTCCTTTATTTCGATGTTTGATTTGTAATTTCTCTATCCAGCGTGTGAATTGACCTCTTGGTTTTCATTTAGCTGCCACTGCTAGGCAGAATCATGGGCTCTAACTAAGAACTTCCACATAGAGACATTTCTCTATGTGGAAGTTGGTAGTGCTCAATGGATTTTACTGCTGCTAGAAGATCTTTCCAGGTGCCACAATAATGTTTTTTCGCTTTTCCAAAACATTTACTGAAATATCCGATAACCACTTTGTTCCCACTTTGAATGTGGGAGAGAACAGCTCCTATTTCAATATCACTTTCATTTCAACATGAAAACTGGCTTTAATTTGTCTTTCAGTTCCACGAAGCCAGTGTCCAAGGAAGTTTAATTTTTTTTGGGACAGACCACTTCATTGGATTCAACTATAGGCTTTCACTCCGAATGATCCTGACAAAAACTTTCCTCTAATTCGGCAGATGTTCGTCGAAATCTCTACCATTCGCCATACCAAGTATGTCTCCCAGTTCAGTCCACGTGGAACTAATTCCATCCATAGTCTCTCGAAGGTGGCACGTGCACTGTATAAATCTCAATTTGTGGATATTCAGCAAATCGTTCAAAATTAAGATGGGATATTTCCATAGCCCACGGCAATTTCCTGAAGACTATAAGAAATATGTTCACAATGATTTGTATTGTAAATATAATTTTTCTTTAAAATTAATTTTGTAATAAATATACCTACATATTTCTTTTCACTTTCTCACAGCAACTGTCTGTGGGGGTGGAGGGTTTCTCCCCCGCCCCCGAATCCGCCAACGCCACAAACCGATAATTGAACATCACGAGTCGCTTCCTATTATTATATATCTTCTCTTTTTTTCTAGAATATGAGAAGAACCGGACGCCACAAGTTTATACGGATATCAGTATTTTTTCTAGTTTATTCGGTTATACATGCGGTTTCCGTAAGGTCGGACAAAAAGGACGATGACGTCAAACTTCCAGAACCAAATCCAACCCCTTCCAGTATTACATTACCCAAAACTACCACACCGCTGCCTGATAAAGAGCTACCACCGAAGGTAAAGCCATATTATATTTCAGGACATATTGCTTTTCTATTTGTATCGTTTTTCATGAATTTTAGAAAAGTCCATCGGACAAATTGAAACAGGAAGCGACAACAACGACGCCTGCTCCCCAAGGAAAAGGCTTCGAGAACACAAAGACGAATGCAACGAAAAAAGAATTGGTGGGACAAGAAGCTTCTGGAGAGGTAATTGCTATAAATAAATCTTGCCTATTGTGCAATTTTTATGTATATATTGCGAGAGTAATAAATTTTTTTTTAACATTTCTACCTCGTTAACGCTCGAAATACAATAGTTCTCTTCACTCGGGGTCTGAATGATGGCATTTGAAGTGATTCAAAGGTTATAATTGGGGGTAGAAATTAAAAAGATCTCATCTTTGAGCATATTTTCACAATCTCATCAACAACCGTGATGCATAAGAGCATTCACTATAATTTTCAGATTTTTCATATATAACTTTCAGATTTTTCATAGCTTAATCGTTTTCTGTAAACTCATAAATAAAACTATTATTGTAAATCAAAATTTAAGGTTTCTTAAAAAAAAAAAACATAATATGTATTCAAGAAAAGAGCGGATTAACCTACTAGACACATAGGGAGTAATAAGACGAATAAGCTTATACCCGGCTTAGGCGAATCGAGGAGGTGCTGCCGAAGATGCACGAATTTTAATAACTTGCAGGGACGATCCTGCAGTGAAATGGGTATCAGTCAACTGGACCCATTGAAGCCTATGTGTCTAATAGTCTGTTCGTCAAGTTTCAAATGAATTCACATAGAACGTTGCATTTAACTTTGTTGCGAAAGAATCGGCTTCGCCTAAGATTGAGTTAATACTTTTTCATATCTAAACTATTGGAAATGTTTCGGTGTAACTGGAATTGCCTAAAACTTTAGGATCCAGTCAATTTGATTTTTGATTTTTCCCTTGATTTAATGCTCTTCAAGAAGATCATGTCTTCCAAATCTCAGAGTTTCTCTGATTGGACATAAAACTTAGAATAAACGAAACCACAGGAATTTTCGAGAAAGATTGATGGAATAATCTTGCAACTCATGGAATGGAACGATCGAGAAATGACGTTTATCAACAACAAATTTCCTGTAGGAAGCCCTAAAATCCTTAAATTTCTAGCAATTTCATTTTACTTTTGCAAAAACATTTCCGAGACTTTAGCCGCAAAAAACGAATGAGCTCAGTTTTAGATGAAGCCAATTTATCTTGTTCTTCTTAGAAAAATTTTCCCCATCAATAATAAAAACATAGCAGCCCTCCGAAATAAATTGAATGCCTACGTGCAGCAGCTACGTTATTTAATAGAAAATCTGGAAGTTATTAAATTATTTCAGAATAATTTGAAGGCTGGAACAACAGCAACATCGCATAATAAAACAGAAGAGAAAAATTATAATTCCACGAAAAAACCAAATGAAGAAACAAAAGTAGGCACCACCAAGAGCACTAGCAATGAGGCTATCATCAGCCCTAGTCATCAGTGTACACCAGCGGCAATACGTCAGGTAAAATTTTAATTTAATATAGTGAAATTTTATGTGAATATTAAAGTGAATTTTTTTTTTTGAAAATTCGATTAGTTTAATATGCTCTTTTCCAATGAAAGGGAGGATTCATTAAAATTCTGTATGGCAAGAAGCAATAAAATAAAGCCTAGAACTAGGTCAGACAGTAGGTCTCCTAGGACATCGATGTTGAATCGGTGCCCTAGACTTGGAGTTATTTAGGGGTCACAGGGTGGCAAAAAAGTAGCGCATATACATACCTGTTACTTTCTAGGACATTTTTTCATATACAGGACATTACTTGCCACTCCCTAGTAAGTACCAGTTTGATTTGAAACAATAATTTCCTGCAATCGCCAAGGATTATGCTTACAGGACTTGGCATTTCGCATGACATTCAAATTCGCTTTGCTAATGGGTACATTTGGACAAAATGAATTAGGTACATGCAATATATCATCACTTTCGTGCTCTGGCGAATTCGCTTCTATTATAATTTCCATTCACGTAAACAAACAGATTGAATATTGAATTTTAAAAAAGTTGATCGACAGACATTCACATTTTGAGATTAGTTTGATTCACTCACACGGTTTAGTGTGCTACAGGGCTAGTCATTAAACATCGAAAAAATATACAAAATTGCAAAATTTATGCGAATTTGATTTTATTTACCTACTTCCAGATGTTGAAAATAAAACTCAAAATTAGTAAAATAAATGAGGCATAACCTTTTTCGGCATTTTGACAATGAATATCTCAAAACTTTGCGTTTTTATAGAAACTAATCAAAATGTTCACTGTTTTTGTCCGAAAAATACCATGGCGGATTGCCAAATTTATAATTTTGCCTCATTTAAAACTTATTGGGTATCGCTCCATAAAAAAAAGTTCAAAGGATTGAGATCGAGGACTCTTAGTTGTCAAATTTTAGTTTGATTCGTTTCCATGAAGTTTGACCCATATATTCAAGGAAAATTACGATCCTCGATTTCGGTTCTAAGACGGAAAAATAATTAGCAGAAAATAAATCGACATTTGTACCTGATGTGATTTTATGAAAGCTGTTACCTAAGCCTACGTGAGACTCTCTTTCCAAATGAAATAAAATTTGTTTGAAACAATAGATAACACAAAAATCACGATAAAACTAACACAATTAAAATTGGATCACTCCAAATTAAACGTACCTAAGTATTCATAAAATGGTTTCAATATAACTGATTAAATGACTGTCTGTCTGGTCTGATTATCGACTCGTTCGATTGACAACTAACTCACAAGATCGACGCCTTTGTAATTTTCTATAGATAATTCATTTCTAGGGATATCCGATAAGCATTAACTATCGATAGTTCTGTAATTCGCTAGACTATTCGACGGGGTTGCCTCCTTTAATTTTGCGTTTCCTTGCGCCTTCTCTAAGATTATATAGGATATAGGATATGATAGCTTTCGTTATTTTCGTGGATTTTGATGGTCAGATTGTCAGATTAAATTACTTGGTGCTTAGTCTTGTCATGTGCTGGTGCCTACAGTTGCACTGCCTACTGAGTTATTGGTTTTTTGTCAGTGTCTTCTTGAATTATTTTCCCAAGTTATTATTTTATTATGTCGTAGATATTCTTTCGAGTTTCAGAAAATAGTTTCTCAATTCAATGTCAATGTTTCAATTTCCCTGCTCAATTTTATGAATTTATTTCCGCGTCTCTACAACGGCGGCAGTGCCGTATCTAGGGGGGGGGTTTTGGGGGTTCAAACCCCCCCACCCCAAAAAATAATAAAATTCAAAAAGTTTAACTCAAAAACAAACAACACTTATTAAATACTTATTTATTTTTTTTATTCTTATTACTGTGTATTTTTTTTTTTGCCACTTTGTCTAACCCCCCCCAAAATTTTGGTCTAGATACGGCCCTGAACGGCGGCTTAACTATAATAATTTGACCGTATCTATCACAATAATTTTACCAAATCTACTAAAATACCTAGTTGACCCGATATGAATTAAATTGAATTCGGTCAAATTGCAATATATTCTTCAGGTACCGACGTTACCTATACTAAAATGTCTTGTTTGAAAAAAAAAAATCCAAGAAAGTTGGGGACACTGTCAAAGAATTTTGCAAAAAGTTTCCCAGCGCAAACCGCACTGTCACGAACCTACTGGGTACTGAATTGATTAAATATTAAATAAAATAACTGAAAACGCTTATTAGTATACGTCTAATGTGGCCTATGGGCATAAAGCAGATTAAATAATCAGAATCAATATTTCTTTAAAGTTTCCAAGGCCAGGAATATCCCAAAACGTTCGGAAACACGGTGGGCTCATAATCCACATTCTCGTAGCCATATACATGTTCATTGGATTAGCAGTAGTGTGCGACGAATATTTCGTGGCATCTCTCGACAGGATTTGCGAGGGTAATATTTGCTGAACTTTAACCTTCATGCCATTCTAATTAAAAATATTTATTTCAGAACTAAAGATGTCGCCGGATGTGGCCGGAGCCACGTTCATGGCCGCAGGAAGCTCGGCGCCAGAGTTGGCTACAGTTATCATTGGGGTGTTTTATGCAGAGGATGATATTGGTTAGTAATATTATCAATCTAGGTACATATTATAAAAACTCAAAGAACACACACACACACATAAAAAATATCAATTTCGATCTAAATAAATGAAATTTGTATCTATAGGTAACTATTCTATTTTCCAAAAACATCTACCATAGAAAATTCTAATAAAATTGAAAAAAATACAATGGAAGCTTCAATAAAAACCTGAAACGAAGAGCTCCCCGATTGCTTTAAATTTAGCTCCCATAGGGAGGATAGAGGTAGATATTAAAAATGCCTGGATGTCAGTGGCGCATCCAGAGTGTAGGTCTGGGAGGAAGGGGCAGCTTGCTGCAGGCTCCCCGAAAGTTTTTTGGGGGTGCCACGCCCAAATTATTACTTCGAACAAAAACTTACTGCCGTTAGTAGTTAGTAGTATTCTATTAGTATTCGCAATATATTTTCTATATTTTTAGTATAAAAAACTAAAAATTTAGGTAGGTTTGAATTTTTCTGGTTTTCTGGTGGGGGTAATTACCCTGGATGTGGGATTTTTACTAATTGCTTTCAGATGAACTATGCACTTATGTTACAGGAATATCTGGAGTGATTGGATCAGCAGTGTTCAACATCATGTTCGTGATATCAGTTTGTGCCTTAGCAACTGGTACTATGGTCTACTTAAACTGGTGGCCATTGATGAGAGATTCCGCTTTCTATGCTCTCTCAATTTTAATCATGTTGGTTGTCATTGTGGATGAAAATGTCAATTGGTGAGCATCCAACAATAAGAAAAAAATAACGATTTCAAATCCATTTATTATAATATTCCAGGATAGAGTCATTGATAATGCTACTAGTCTACGTTGTCTATTGCGTAGTACTATACTTCAATCCGGCGCTAGAAAAGTGGGCCCATACTCTCCCAGTGCCCTTCAAAACGGTAGTACCTAATGAACAATCAGGCCTTGTAAGTTATAAAAGTCTTGAGGAAGATGGTAAGCATGGTAAATATGGCATGGATTATAATTCCATGGAGCAACAAGAGCAGCAACAGCCTCAACAACAACAACAACAACAACAAGAACATTCTGTTTGGAATCCTGGGAACGAGTGGAGTCCTGAAAAACAGCCTGCAACAAGTAAGTGAAGTTTTAGAGTAATGTAGTTTCCATTGCAAGATTTTTATCTTCAGAAAAAAAAAATTGGGCATTCGAAATTAAATACTTTTCTGCATTAGCGCTAGATGTAGTCTTACTAACGCTAGTACTAACTTTCCACGCTGTAGCTTTCCAGGAAGAGCCATTGAGTGGAGCAGTTTTAAATCAAGCAACTATCGATGTAGCTCCCACTCAATCATCAAAGGTAGCTGCCCCATCACAGCAGGATTATTACAAGCCTAAAGAGTACGACCCTAGCACTAAAATTAACCCGTTGCTTAAACCTACAGGTAATAGTGAGCTAGGCTAAAACTTGTAGAAATAAATTTGTGAAAATGTGTCGATTTTCTTTTTAGCAATTTTGAATTTCTTTTTACTTAGGTGATGCTGCTGGCATATGGGCGAATTTCAAGTGGGGCTTACTCTATCCAATTCACTTTTTCTGCATTTACACCATGCCTGATTGTAGGAGCGACAGATTTCGTAATTGGTATCCATTTACATTCTTCGTATCCATGGTATGGATATCGTTTTATTCTTATTTTATGGTTTGGATGATTACGATTATTGGTAAGTGAAAATTAATTTCACTAAAACTCTACTCTATTCACTAAACATAAGAACTTTTATTGAATTTACAAACCCTTGTGCGCTATACAAAAACATTCAAGAAAATGCTCGTTTAGATATTTCGAAGAAACAGTAGGTACCTAGAAGGAACAGCAGGAAAGCAAATATGATACTAAAAGAACACAAAAAAACTAATTATTTCACAGTGCCCTAAATGCTTTCAGGAGAGCAGTAGAAAATAAAAATACATCTATGATTAGAGACAAACTTGAAAAAATAATAATAAACATTATAAAGGAAAAGGCGGGATATTTTAAACAAGATCTAAGGGAAAAAAAGATATTTGATAATGTTATAGTAAATACAAAATCATTAAGGGAGGCGAAGACAGTTAAAGCATCGGAACAAATTTAAAAATAAATAATAAAATAGACGTCATTGTTGGAATTTGCAGATTAAAATTAATAATTCTATATATACTGTTACGGCTCTGGGGTGCGTGACAGAAATCTTGGGTTCGTTTATTCCAAAATCAAAGTCCATTTAACACAGCACCAATTTATTCCACGTTACTACACACTCTGACACTAAATACTTCACTAATTAACTCACACAACTTAACTCTTCACAACTTTTACAATAATCACTATCTAAAACTTATCACAGCCAATCTTAAAGACTAAAAACTACCAACTAATACCGGCCTTTATATATCCGTAATCCATTCTTGTAAAATCCAGAATAAACGCGATAATCTCCTTTCTTGAACAAGGCAGTGTTTTCTGGAATTTTACGCATGGATTCTGTATACCTGGCAAAAGCGCACCGTTACACTGCCCTCCTCTTAAGGTTGATCGTCCCGATTAACTTTACGCCCTTGATATGCCGTTAATTTGTTCAGATGTACAACTTTCATCTTACTCCTGGTGTTGCGCTGAATAAACCAAATCAATAATCCGCTTGATTATTCTGTAGGGTCCTTCCCATGCTGAAGACAATTTGGGCGACACTCCTTCCTTTCTTGCTGGATTATACAACCACACTAAATAACCTTCTTGAAATCCGGCCGAATTGGCTTTCAAGTAGTATCTGGTTTTAATTCGGTCACTGGCCAGCTGAATATGCTCCCGAGCTAAATCATGTATCCCCAGAAGTCGTGCTCTTACTTCGTCGGCATAATCTTGAATTTCTTTTCGTTCTTCTTGAGGTATTCCAAACATCATATCGCAAGGTAACCTGATTTCTCTTCCTGAAACGATTCTAGCTAGACTTTCACCTGTTGTCTCGTGAGCTGCTGCTCTCTAAGCCATTAAAAATAGAGGCAAATGTTTGTCCCACTCTCGCTGGTTCTTTGCGACCACTTTTGTTAGGTCTTCCTCTATGGTCTTATTAAATCGTTCTACGATGCCATCAGACTTTGGATGTAAAGGTGCGGTTTTTGTCTTACGAATGCTCCATGATCTCACAAATTTTCTTGAAGATGGCAAATTCGAAGTTTCGTCCCTGATCTGAATGCAACTCTAGTGGCACACCATGAGGACTGAAAACTTCGTCCACTAGCACCTGGGCAATAGAGATGGCTTCTTGGAGGGAATAGCGAAAATTCCTGGCCATTTATTGAAGTAATTCATGATAACCAAGATGTATTTGTTACCACGCTTTGACTCAGGGAACGGTCCGGCTACATCTATCGCTATTCTTTCAAATGGGAGATCGACGTTTCATGGGCCCCCGAGATCTTAGTTTAGGGCCTTTACTGATAGCACAGAAGTCGCATTTTCGGCACTAGTTTTAGACGTCTTCATGATAGTGGACCCAGTAATAAAGTTCTCGAATTTTGTACAAAGTCTTGTTAATTCTAGAATGTGTCCCTGAAGTTCCGTCATGTATTTCTTTTAATACATCTTCTACTCGATCTTTTGGAATAACTAGTTGGCTCTTCGTAGTTTTCCCATTCGCACTTTCCCAAACTCTTTTCAGTAAAGTAGTATCTTCATACTAGAGAATGCTTCAAGACTACCTGGATTGATGGACTGTGTTCCTAATTTATTCACCTTATCTTCAAGTCTTGAACTTGGTCCTCAACTTCTTGTCTTTATTGCTGAACATCGTCTTTACCTTCTTGAACATATTCTTTAACTTCGGCTTTCACTCTCTTAATGTTTTGTTCCAGGTTAGTGACAGATCCTTGTATGGTTTGAAATATTTTCTGCAGTTGTCCAAGGTCGTCTTGCCGTTATTTTTGTCGCCTAGCCTCTTCTTGTTGTTTTTCTCTTTGTCGCCTGGCCTCTTCGTCTTGTTTTTCTTGTTGTCGTTTAGTTTCTTCTTGTTTTTCTTTTTGTCGTTTAGCCTCTTCTTGTTGTTTTTCTCTTTGTCGCCTGGCCTCTTCGTCTTGTTTTTCTTGTTGTCGTTTGGTCTCTTGAAGTTCCAACATTTTGCGCAGAAGTTCTTGAATTTTTTATTCTTCCATTTTTGCTTGTTGTCTCGTAATAGGCATATACAGAATATTCTGGAATTTTCCTCAAACTTTCTTCAAATATCTTTCCTGGTCTTTGCTTGAATATCCAAATATGTCAGTGAAGTCACAAATTGGATAACTTGCTTTATTCTCGAATAGAATGTTTTAGAATTTTCTTGAAAAGTCTTTTCTGAATGTCGATTGATAGTAGCTTTGTTCCAACACACCAAGAAACCGTACAATGTACCGTCACAATTCTGCGCAAAGTCAAACATTTATGCGTAGAACCCAAAATTCGTGTACAGAGTGGTTTCCAAACCGTCCATGGGATGGTTCTTGACGTGTTTGAACAAACCTATAGTAAACACGTCGGTGAAGTCACAAATTCGATATCCCCCTTACTGTCCCAGTGTTCACGTAGTGTCCACACTAGTGTCCGCAGTAGTCCGCACTATTCCTCGAATAATATCTCACTTCTGACACCAATGTAACGGCTCTGGGATGCGTGACAGAAATCATGGGTTCGTTTATTCCAAAATCAAAATCCATAATTAACACAACAATAATTTATTACACGTTACTAGACACTCTGACACTAATTACTTCACTAATTAACTCACACAACTTAACTCTTTACAACTTTCACAATAATCATTATCTAAAACGTATCACAGCCAATCTTAAAAATTAAAAACTACCAACTAATACCCGCCTATATATATCCGTAATTTATTCTTGTAAAATCCAGAATAAACGCGATAGGTAATCTTCTTTCTTGAACAAGCAGGGCCGGCCCTACCATAAGGCGAACGGAGCGAGCGCTCCAGGCGCCAGACCAGATAAAAAAAAGAGAAAAATATATTTCTGCTTTGAATCCTGTCTTCGCTTTTCGATATCCTGTTATTCTGCTTGCGAGCAAGCGTGTGGTTAGTATGTGAATCCCATAGAATGTTTAGGCCCGGTTTCTTCATTTCCAGATAAATTTTCTATTGACTGTCTGCAAGACAAATTCACGAATCTATAATCCTATTGGTTGACCAAAGAAATTGCGGATTGTCTTCTTATCCATCAGATTGTATTGTTTGACAGTTTATCAAAAGCTGAATAAACCGGCCCTAAACGAGAAATAATGTGTTTGGAGAAGTTCTCAGATAGTGATAGAGGTCACTCAAAGGCAGTTCTTCAGACCTTAGCATCAAATAATTGGCAAGATATGTTCCCTAATATCTGGACAGCACTTCTTTTTGTTGTAACCATTCCTGTGGGCGGCGAAGATGAACGGAGCTTTAGCAAGCTTAGGTTAACTAACCGTGCGTTCAGTATTATGATCTGAGTTCTCCGGGCTTGAATTTACTGTTCGTTTATTTAAAAAGTTGACTCGGTGCAGGCTCTTCCACTTTCGTTTATTAAAGTTCCGAGGGTTCTGATCATTTGCTCTGATAGAGCGTTTAACTGCTCTGCGCGCTAATGGTCACGTGACTACTGCTCCGCTTCAGCACGCTCTGCTCTTTGAGAAAAATACCGAACGCAACATAAAACGTACCTTAGGGGTCTACTCTAGCAGAAGACAACTTTTCTGATCTGGCCCTACTGTCCATTGGATATGATATAGCTCAGACATTGTCATACGAGGAGATCATACAAATTTCCAAATACAAAAGTGCGCAAACAGCGATTTACCTAAAATTTTGTATTTTTTTTGTTCGATTTTTAGGTTTATAAGTGTTAATTAATAATTATTACCAAAGTTGAGTATGATTGATCTCATCAAAGAATGTGGAACAAATGTTGGTAAAAAGGAGAGCTACCTACCTTATTGTTAAAGTTCTACTTTAAATCCAGTCTCAAAAGGAAAAGAGTAGATACCAACGGTACCAATGAACATGGATATTTTCAAATTTCAATTGATAAGATAGATAGGGACATATAGGTTTTGGGCAAAATTCATGCGAGTACGATTCACATTTGAATAAGGAGCGCCAACGTCGGATCTCGCTCCATCCTTAAAGTAGGCTCGGGCCGGCACTGTGAACAAGGCAGTGTTTTCTGGAATCTTATTAGGCGTGGATTCTCTATACCCTGGCGTGAGCGCACCGTCACAATACAAATACATGATGTGTGTTTTTCCCAGGCTACACTTTGGGAGTACCAGATACAGTCATGGGACTAACCTTTGTTGCCGCTGGAGTTTCAGTACCGGACGCGTTGTCCAGTATAGCTGTTATTAAAGAAGGGTAAGATATGTAGTAGAACACTAGATTTTTCAACAATTGCATCAAATGGATTAACATTTTTCAGGTATGGTGACATGGCAGTCTCCAATGCCATTGGTTCAAATGTGTTCGACATTTTGATTTGTCTGGGTCTTCCATGGTTCCTGAAAACTGCTGTAGTGTCTCCCGGAACACATGTTAAAGTTATAAGCAAAGGTATTATTGTTATAGAATGTTATGTTTATAGAATCTGTTATGTTGTTGCAAAATTGTTAAATTCCCAACCGTTAGTTTTACAATTTGTGACAAACGAATTTTTTTAGGTTTAACTTACTCAACATTATCTCTGCTCTCGACTGTAGTGTTCCTCGTACTGGCAGTACACTGGAACGGTTGGAAATTGGATAGAAAATTTGGTATAGTTCTAATGATCTGGTATTTAGTGTTCATTACATTTGCAAGTCTTTATGAATTGAACATTTTCGGTTACATGAACCCTCCTGAATGTTTAACCGACTATTAAAGTGTGTCCCAAAAATCTATAATTTAAAATTTTCTGTGACACACTTTATTTGTATAGGTATATTGAATATTATGTTTCTGTCGCATGTGTGGTAGCAATAAACAAACCAAAAATATACAAAAAAGAAATCAATGTTCAATTTTTGATGTAGCTGTGTCAATATTAGAATTAGTACCCGTCCTGCTGCTAAACTAAGAAGTGAATAGTTGTCAATTTATGTTCAATTATTGTTAGATATTGCGATGTTCAAATTAACGGTAGAGTATAATGGGACTATGGCAATTTACCAACACTTCATAGTCTATATTTCGAAACAAAAACAATTATTACAAATTATAAATTTTTGCCGTTCAATTATTACTACGACAACGTACATTGTATAGTGTCAATATTATAAAGGCATTTGAAACAATAATTTGTAAAATTAAAATATTTTTTATGGGTAACATCGAAAATTTTTTAAAACAGTGACAGTTGAGTCACTGAAACTGTAAAAATAGGATTAAGTATGGAGATTTTTTTCTTTACTATATGCATTTATAGATATTTTTATTTCAATATACCAAGTACCTAAAATGGAGGCAACATTATAGTTAGGTGCATACCTACCTGGCTGTAAATTATTTCTGCCAAGCCAAACAAATGAAATAATAATGTTTCACATAGTTTAGCACGTTTATGATCTCCCATGACCAAAACTTTTTATAAAAATATGTTAGGTATTGAATTCGCCGATAAGATTTTTTATTAAATCACCGTCACAAAATTGAAAGTTTGTTAGAAATCAATCTAGATGTCCCAGCAAAGGACCCCGCACATTTCTTATGGAAAAGTGATCTATGTGGAATTTTGCTGAATTTTTGATATTGTGTATAGGGAGTCGTCCTTAACAAAAGTGATCATTGCGCTAATGTTCAATACCCAACAGTTTTCAAGATATCAATTAAAAACTTTTTTAATTTGATACTCTTCAGTATGACGTCACCAGTATGCTCACAGCACCAAAAATTTAAACTATCCTTTTCACTTTTGACTTTGACTACCTATACTTATACTCTTCTCTTTTTAACATTCCGTGCGTTCGTTATTTTGGTCTGAGTTCTCCGAGCTTGACTTTACCGTTCGTTTATTTAAAAAGTGTACTCGGTGCAGCCTCATTCGCGTTCGTTTATTAAAATTTCCGGTACTTTTATACAGCGTTCAACTGCTCCCTTCGCTCGCTGGTCATGTGATTACGGCTCCGCTCAGCTCGCTCTACACTTTGAGCAAAATACCGAACGCAAGGATTAAAGGAAATTAAAAAAAACAACAAAAGGTACAAATGAAATCGCTATATGACAGACATCATCACATGAAGTTGACGATTGCGGCAGGAGCTAGGTGTTGTTTACATACCTACCTATTTGTCACTAATCGCTATCGCTATCTTTTTTTTTCTTTAATGTTAAAAGGAGAAGAGTAAAGTCAAAGTCAAAAGTGGAAAGGATAGTAATAATTTTCGTTGCTGTGAATGACGTCATACTGAAGAGTATCATATTAAAAAAGTTTTTAATTGATATCTTTAAAACTGTTGGGTATTGAACATTAGCGCAATGATCACTTTTGTTAAGGACGACTCCCTATACACAATATCAAAAATTCAGCAAAATTCCACATAGATCACTTTTCCATAAGAAATGTGCGGGGTCCTTTATGACAAGTAAAGGCCATTATTCTATTCTGTTTAAAAAAGTTTTGCTGGGCCAACATATAATTAATAGCTTTTTATTTTGTATTAAAAACGGATTTCCGTACAAAATTTAAACATTTTCAAAATGTTAATAACACAACCCTTGTTCCTAATTGTCTAGCTTCGTTAATAATATTTACTAAAATTGAATAACTATTGTCTGTTTATAGAATCTTTTATAAATCATGTTTTCTTCCTTTGATATTTATCAGTTCTACCTCTTTCCTAAAGATTCTATCATGTCCTAAAAAGTTATGAATTCTTAAAAATTTATTAGATATATTATTGTTATTGTGATTTTAAGATTTTTAACATTTGTATTGTATTCTAAAATATGGTTTTAAAAATTTATACTTAGTGTGACCAGTAAAATATGCATCATATGGGTATAATGCAAAGTTGGCTTACTAGGTATTTCAATTAAAAAAAAAAAAAAACAGATTAATCCAATTTTTTGACGCACAGAATTGGAGAAGCAACAACTTTGCTGATCCAGTAAAAAAAATCTATTTGTTTTTATTGGTCACGCTCATACTATTTAGGATACTTTTAAGAAATAACTCTTGGACAAAAAAAGCAATAATTTAGTATCTGCACAAGAAAACTTTGTTGGAAATCTTGAAGAAAAAATATAGTAAAAAACAAAGAAATATTTCTAAACGAGAAAAGCAATTTTACCTTCCTCACAGTACAAACCTCGGCACAAACATAATACTCATTTTAATTAAATTTTTTTGAAAATTGTGTACCTACTGCTATTTTTGTCCGGTAGTATTAAATATATATCGTCCCTAGTATTTTTAATAGATGCTCTTAATTTCCTTTCTCATTCGAATCCATAAAAGTTGTATCTATTAGAAATATCAAAATGTTTTACTTATCTATTAAATTATAAATGTAACGTGCGACAATAAAAAAGCCTTAAATTTAATACCATATAGGCAGTTATCCACAAACAAATTTCTTCTTGTCTTGGTTGAACCGCTTATTTAGACGAGTTTTTGCCATTTTTGTGTAGGAATAGTATTCAAAACTTTGAAATAGGAAATTTGAAGGAAAAGGCATCATTTTAAAAATTAATCTTCCTAAGTTGAACCAGTAGCTGGGATTACACACAAGCCATTCAAACCAATCGAGAAAAGTTAATGAGATTTTGGGCGAAAAAAGCCTTGATTTAACGCACCTCAAATAAAAACGTACTCAGTATTTGGATCTGCCACCGGTTTACAACCCGCGCACTGCGCACTTCTGGTTCGGTTTTTGAATGAATGAGCTCCCTTGAAATCTTTTGTCCAAAATTTCATTTCTATTTCTCCAATTGATTTCCATTTTACACCAGCGACTGGGTCAATGATAATATATTATACATACAGGGTGACAATTTGAAATGCTCTATACCTTTAAGAGTGCGCTTCTCGATGCTGAAAATCGCGAGTGCGCCTTTGCTATTTTAATAAAAACAGTTGCATCTAGAAAATTTTACCGGAAACTTTTTTCAAGGATATGTTTATGTGCTTGTTTGACCAGTAAAATTTTTTTGATTTTTCTCATTTTATGATTTTTTTTTTCAAAAAATGAGAAAAATCAAAAAAAAATTACTGGTCAAGCAAGCACAAAAGTAGATTCTTAAAAACAGTTTTTGTTAGAATTCCCTAGATGCAACTGTTTTTATTAAAACAGCATAGTCGCAAACGCGAAATACCTATTTTTTCAGCATCGATAAGCGCACTCTTAAAACCAAACCAAAGCGTTTCGAATTGTTTCGGCACTATAATTATATGTACCTACTTACTTAAGCCAAAGTTAACTAAGCTCCACCACCCCCACCAACCACATAAAAACATTCTACAGCTCTGAATGGTAATAATTAAAGTAACTACATATGTCTTATATAATCTTGGAAAATAATTAGCAAATAAATGTTTGAAAGGACTTTTGATACAATGACAAGTTTCAATTTTCTCTACTCTTTAATAATGACATAATGCGACAACCACGTTTAAAGGACCATATTGTGAGTCGATTTTAATCTGACACTTTCCGTATGAGGAGCGAGGAGGTTAAGTATATGGCAAAAACAGGTGTGACGTCAGGTGACCATTGGCGTTGTAACGTAGGGAACCACCAGCTCACATTTTTTTGAAGTATCAGATTAAAATCGACGGACTTTGATACATCATACCTCCTAGATACTTTCAGCAAACCAGTAGGAACTGCTGGTGCTGTCCATTTGAGCTCATTGACATAGTTATGAGCTTTATGTGCAAACAAAATCTGGTCTTTCATCCGTCATATTATAGGCCGTAGGTACAGGGTGATGTAACAAACATTTTACAAGATTGGCATAAATATCTCCAGAAAAGAATTTGTAATATGCATTTTTTGTTGTGCTGTACCATACGCTCTGCATGTAAGTATGGACAATTCTGGCATGTCTCGTTCCATTTTCTTTAAAAAATGTTTCAAACTCTCAAGATCCTGTAGCGTAACATTGGGTGGTATATGTACGAAGTACTTGCTACTACTACAAGTATTAGTATGTTCTACGTAGTTACTTCAAAACGAAGTAGATACTACATTTCGAAACTACCGGAAATTAGTAAATGCTTCTTTGTAAAGTAAATAGGTACTATGAAGAATATACTAATACTTGTAGTAGTAGCACGTATTTCATTTTTATTCATACCACCCATTATTTGACACGATGACGTCACATACACCATAAAAGTTCCAGATAGGTATCGTTAAACCTTTATTGTAATATTCGGTGACGTTGACGATAAGACCTCTAACCATTGAACAGAGCAACCACCATGAGGAAATAGCGCCCATTCGGGACAATGTAAAGTGAGCACTGGGCCAAGAAAATAATTCTTATTAATGAATAGGACTTCTTTCTGCTTGGCATCCTCTCAAAGTCCAAATCAGGACATGGTATTGGTAATCTGTTCAGGGCATGTGCATGTAACATCTCTTTTCCTGGCATATCTCGTGGTATAGTAAAGCAAAGAATTATTCTTCATCTGAGCATGTGTGGAGAAACTACTTCAGAAATTGCTTTGTATTGTGTTATGATCCAAGTAGTAGTTGACAATAAATGATAAATGCGAATTGTAAATCGAGAATACATTATAGGTATGAAATTTTTGAACGACAACTAATTGTGAGTTCTTCTCTGTCGACCTATTCATATGCAAAATTTGGTTCCGTTGATGATAAAGGTGAGTGCCTACAACTGGTAGAAACCACTAGAACTCACTTACCATTAAAGATTTGACTGACTCAGTGCTCAACCCACTACATAACGACTTGCTAGACAAAGATTCTTTTTTTTTTATAAACGCTTCATTTTATCTTGACAACGACAAGGTAAGGCTACCGTTACTACCTCATGGCGTAAAAACATAGCAAAAATGGATAATTCCAAGAAAAGCATCATGAACTTCAACTCTACACTTACCGTTTCTCTTTTTCCTGAAATTCTGAGTCCTGAAAATTCAATTTCTCTTGCATACACTGGCTGGATCTACAGTTGATAAATGCCAAATAAGGTATATTCAATTTTGCCTCCAGCCGTTGTCAGAAGTTATGGCACTGAATAAATATCTTTCTCTACTGCTGAATGAAGAACTTGACCGTAATCTGCGTAATAGCCATCGAACCGATCAGCCATTTCCTGATTGGGACTAGATACTACACAATGGAGAGTTGCACTTTTTGTGAAAACTTATTTACAGATAATATTCCTACATACATGTTGGTAGGGTTTCATTAATTTTCAAAATAATAATTGTAGTTTTCCGTTTGGGTTATAAAGGGTGGTTGGAGGATTTTATTAATGTAGGCTTTTGGAAAACACACATCTCTTTTATTATTTTAATTCTTGTATCTCAAAGACTATTAAAGGTGGAATGAAAAATAGTTTACAAATCGCTTTATTCCTTCGGAAGTGTCAAAACTGTATCAAAAATTAGTGTTATTCATTAGTATTTCTTTCTCCATGAATTGGTAACATGCAGAAATATCGTTTCTACTGATATTTTCACTATTTTATTTGAAAGTATAGTTGAATTTGTTTTTTTGTTAAATCAAAATTTCATAAAAAGGTCAATATGGAGTTTCCTTCTTCTGTTACTATTAGGGAACTCTATAAGTACTTGTTAAAATATTATATGTAGGTAGTTCAATTATTATTCTAGCTAAATATATAAACTAATGAATAAAATATAGGCCAACCTAATTTTAAAATCATCGATGAATTTAGAAAATATTTCAAATATCTCTGCCATTTCACTTTTAGAACAAATTATTATACACATGACAATAAAACTCCGCGTCTCAAATATGTGCAATAATGACTTTATTATTAACAAATTAAAAGTGGGAAGGCAGCAATAAATTTATAAATCTTGTTTTTATTCACACTTCGAATAAGATAGCTTAAAATATGTAATTAGAATGTGCAGTATTTTAGACAGTATTATATAAAATAAGCTCCATATAGAAAATTCTTAGTACAGAAGGGCATAAATTGCTTTTATACTCAATAGATTGACGAAATAAGTTGCTTAAAATTATATTTTTATTTATTTTATAGTGAAATCAGTTTGTGCCCAACAAAATGTTGAATGTTAATATATTATGATAAAAACAAAATATATGTATTTAATTGTTGATTCTTGTTTAAGTGTGAACAATATATTAATAACTGTAGCACAATGTAAACAAATTTGCACTAAAATATACTGAATAAAATAACTAAGGAAAGTCTCGTTTATTTTGAAACAAGGAAGTTTATAACATGAGAGAAAGTGGAAGATTTTGATATCGCTTCCATGTAGCATCACAATATGTACCGTATGTCTCTGATCACCTAAAACTAAATACATAGGTTTCTATTGTATATGCAAGAATCTCAAACAAAGAAGTCGGCACAAAATTCTGCCAAAAATACGCTTTATTGTCCTTATCCTCTTTAATGTTTGTTGAGAATTTGCTGTTGCCGTCGAATTCTCTAGAAAATCTTCGCTGCTGAATAATTTAAGCAGGGATTGGGCAGTGTACAAATTTCGCATACCTATACTGCACCAACTATTCTCGTGTCACTTGTCCATAAACTTGAAATTGTATGACCAAGCCAAAGAAATAATTGATATTGAAAACTATTAAAAGTTGCACGAACAGTAGTAATTTCAATAAACTTATCTACTAGCCTAGCGAATTATCATCAATTATCTCTAGTAGAGAATTGTGAGGAAGGAAGCGATTTATATTCCATGCACAATTCAATTTATTGAAATTCAGCGTAGAAGAGCGAGTTCATAAAAAAAAAACATTACGATACGCCGATAATTACAGATCTGCACACGGTAAGCAGACAAAAACAATATAAAACTTTAAACAATCTAAAAATTCTCTTGAGGAAATAAGAAATTTATAACAGAGCAGCCAGAGAGTTAGAATTTCTAATACAAATTCAAGATTTTATATTGCACTGTAACTAATAAAATTTGTTCTGTTAAAAATTTGAAGGTAATGTTTTTTTTTTTTTAAATTTAGGCGTTTATTGAAATGAAAGAAAGAAAATTTAGTCTTCTATATTATTGTTAATTCCAAATTCTATGGGAACACAATTACAGGAATTATAATCTTTTCACTCACTTGTGCAAATAATAATACGGTTTCATTGCCAAACTTTATTTCTTGTTTTTCAACTTGCTTTGAGAAATTATAAGAAGATAATCTCTTCAGTTTGAATAGGAATATAGTGAGACTCAAGAAAATTTTGACAAAGTGCCATGGGAAAAAAAAAATCATAAACAAGATCAGATAGTGTATTAGGGCAAAAAAGATGCAATTCCATCAGCATCATCATTTTCATCAAAAGTCAGGTGAATACGCGTATCCGGAAAATTTTCCATATGGTTTTGTAGCGTTTGCTGTAGCCCGCATAACTCTGACAATTTTTTTCCACATGCCTGAAAGCAATACCTACTTGTTAAATTGGATTTCGTACCTGAGATGAATTCGCGTCCTGCGTGATCAGTTTTTTTTTTGCATCTCGACAAACTTCTTCGTCATTTTCACCAACTTCCTCCTCTCTCGTACCTACTCTAGAAGCTAAATTTGTTTTCTTTTGGCGCAATGTCGAGACAGTATCCAGAACTTCGGAGGTTAAATTTTCAGCCACATGCCTATTTTGTAGCACGCTTCTAGTTACAAGGGCTAGTTCTTCTGTCACATTTTGGACAGAAGGGGACATTACATTAGATTCAAACTTTTGCATGGCTTGTATCACTTTCCAAGAATCTAGGAAGTGCGGGGACGGACTGGAGTATCTTCAGTCTAATATAAAATTAAGTACTGAATTTGAAAAGTACATGCCTCGGAACATTCACAACACGTTTTCGTCGCTCACGCTAAAAGTGTATAAAGTATCGGTCCTGTTTAAAGTCAATTTTAAATGTGTTAAACTAGTCCATTAGTGTTTTGTGTAATGTTCCTGTAAATTCGAGGAAGATAGGTGAAGTGTAATCTAATTAAACTTTGATTTAATTATTTGCTGTTATTAAACTTAAATTTTGGTCTTCCCAAAAATGAAATAATAGGTATATAGGGTGTCTCATTTGAGATAAGCAAGTTGATGTCCACCATCTCGAAAATATTAATTAGCTGGGCTACCCCCAAAAATCGTAAACCAACAAACAGGATTACTCATCCTCATAAGGCGTACGTTCGCCAATCTCGAGTCGGCATGGCCTACGCGTGACGTCACCACTATCAGCAGCTTATAGTGGGACGTCACCCGCAGACCTCGATGGGATGCTTGCGATCCAGGCTGTGCTTGCGAGTTAATTTTTTCGGCGATTTTAAATGCAGAAAAAGTGATTTCAACAAGATTTTTAATGTTAAGGAATTCGTTTTTTTTTTTACCTATAGTATTTTAAACTCGTCTAATGCATTTTACGCCAAGAGTTGAGGTCTGCGGCGAATATGCAAACACTCTCAACTCAATAAGCAGTCCTATTAGGAAGTGTGCTTGGGTTGCCTCCATTGACATTAGTTACTATCAAATTTACAAAAAAGTATACAGTATTTCATATACAGGCAGGACCAGGCTACTAGACACATAGGCTTCAATGGGACTAGTTGCCTGATACCCATTTCACTGCAGGATCCTTAGTGGATTATTGATCGTCCCTGCACGTTATTGAAATTCGTGCGTCTTCGGCAGCTCAGCTATACTCGGCTTCGGTAGCAGGCCCGTCGCCAGGGGGGGTGCGGAGGTGCAGCCACACCCGGGCGGCCAAATCAGGGGGCGGCCGAAGGCCGACCGATTGTGTAATATATAATAATACCTATAATAATATAGGTAATAACTTTTTTATATTTTAAAGTAAAAGTTAAAGTAAATCAGCGCTTTCAGCAGTGCTTTTGCTCAATGTTTATTTTCCGGACAACTCATATAGTACCTACTACTTAGGCATGCATGAATCTAAATATTTCCACGAATTTTCATTCAATGCATGCATCTGTGAGACGCGAAATGTGGGGCGGCCTGCCGAAGGAAGGGCTAGATCCCGGGCTGCGTTCAGAAATGGCTACAGCCAAGCCAAAATTGGCATTTTGCGTTCGAGTTCGGCTCCAACCTACGTGGTTTGGCATTACTGGTGGAGGGGGAAAAGTAGGTTTTGGCATTAGCATTGCCGTCCTTGAACGCACCCCTGGAATGCGTTCAAAGACGGCAATGCTTATGCCAAAACCTACTATTCCCCTTCTACCGGCGATACCAAATCTGGTGTGAATTCGCTGGAACGCCAAATACCGTTTCTCAATAAGCAATCCAAACCACGTGACATTCAATATGGCGTGGCGACCATACATGGACCAAAAAACACAAAAAATATCTAGTTTCTGCCCGACTTAATAGTTTACGTAATTAGTTAACAAATATTTTATTGAATAATCAAAATCAAAGCTGCAAACAAAATAATTGAAATATGCATGAAAACACATAATCAAAACTAACTTGCTGGTCGCCACGCCATATTGAATTTGGTTTCATCCAATCAAAATTCGTATAACCATTTCTAGACTCAGTTGAAAGAGCCTCCAAAAGTTACTTTACCGCGGCAGATTTGGAACGTGTAAAGCCAACCGTTTTTGGCACGCTGGAGCCGAACTTGAACGCAATATGCCAATTTTGGCTCGGCTTTAGCCGTTTTTGAACGCAGCCCTGGACAATTTTCCAAATGTCATCTCAGCGACAATGCTGATTGGTGTTTTGAATAATAATTGATTATTTACAGTAAAACAATTGCCCTCCGATTCGCTCCGGGTTTGTTTACAGGAACCAAATCTTACCTAGGGTTTTGCCGTTTGAAATTTTCAAATGAAATTTCCATGTTTGAAATATTCAAATGTGAAATTTTCAATATTCGGAAAAAGTGAAATTTCACAGAAATTGCAGGCGAAATTTTCAATTTGAAATTTCCCAAACTTTGTAGAAAATTTCATATGGTTCACAGGAAATTTCATAAATTTCAATGAAATTTTCAAAAAGTGTACATGTTTCTCCGGGAAATACAAGGAGTTATTGACAATAATGGCAACGCTGCTCACTGGTTGTCTTGCTTTGGATTGTTGGAATCTTAATTCTTAGCAAATTTCTTAGCTTAGATTGGAATTTATTTGCCACGATTCGATTTAACAGGACAAGACACGACAAAACAAGGTTCCGAGGCAGATGAATTACATGTTAGAAGCCTAAACGATAAATACAGTTAAACCAAAAAGACAATATTTGGAGCTACTTCACTCAACTGACTTGTAAATAAATAACAGAAAGGTAGAATGTGTTTTTTCTACGAGCGTTTGGAAAATGGCTCTTTCGGCACTATTTGCTGTGCGGGAAGCTTTTCTTATTTTGTGTGTTGTTTTCTTTCCAATTCATTTATAAATTTACTTTCTGCACAGTCGCATTTTATTCAAATTACATTTTTCGTAACATCACCAGTACGCTTGTAGAAAAAATCTAGTTCCTGAAGCTTGCGGGAAGAAATTTCCGGCTTACGGGCGCTTTGCACACTCGTGTCGGATATGTCTCCTCCCGCACTTGTTAGGAAAATAGCTATTAATTATTTACATTCGGCAGTTAAGACAGAATACCAATGCAATGTCTGAAGAATATCCTGAATGTCTAACCATTTACCTACTTATTTAATTTTGTGTGTACCTACCCTACCACCACCTCATAAACACCATATACTAAACTCAATGACTAAACTAATACCACAGCTAATACACGAAGTCACGTAGTCATGTCACATCACAAATTGAATTTTATAGATTATACAACTCACTGTACATTATTCACATATGACACGGGAGGCCTAATAAGTGATAAGCCTTTTGGGATTATCGCGCTTGGTGGCATTTATAGCAAATTCTATTATAGAAAAAATTTCAAATTTTAAAGTATTAAAGTTTAGTTCGTTGTATAACCTTTTGAATACCACTCGATGTTTCAGGATTACCTAATACTTTTACCTGACACTCAACGCGTTACCAGCAACACCAATCCTCCTTCGGAGTCGTGGTGTTGCTGCGTAACGCGTTTCGTGACAGGTAAAAGTATTATCTGGTAATCCTGAAACCTCTTGTGGTATTACATTCGAAAATTTCATGGAATTTTATGAAATTTCATTGAAATTTTCATGATATTTTGGAAATTTTCAGAAAAATTCGGAAATTTTGAAAATTTCACGGAAATTTCAAAAATTTCAATATTTTCAAAATTTCAGAGTGAAATTTCCAAATGAAAGGAAAAGTGAAATTTACCCAACCCTAATCTTACCCAAAAAATATTAAACAGAATAATTAATTAATTACACTAAAGCAATTCCCCTCTGCACGCTCCGGGATTTTTTACAGAAAAATTAACCAAACTAATCATATCTAACAACAAAAAGTAGGAGTTGTAAGGCTCGATCCCGGTACTTTAAGTACTTATGCCAACCACGGCAACCACACAACCTCTGTGCCACCAAGACTCCCTGGTGACAAGCTATTGCTTATCCGTATTGATATGGAAAATATCATAGAAAAATTTGCCGAAAAAAAGGCAAGAAAATTTTGTTGAATTACCAACCTTTTTTACGTCTTAATTTACCTTTTCCAGATATTTTACTTAGATGTTTTGTTTTTTTAGTTACCTAATATTTTAAGATGTTATTACCCACACCTTTAATAATACATGACAAAATTATGAATTTTTGTTTTTTTTTACAGGACCTACCTACTTATCCCTTTTAACGCAGGGCAAAAGTAAATATTTTTGTTTTTGTTTTTCGAAAAATTATTTTGGTCAGAAATTTCTAGAGAAAAAAATAAATTTAAAAAAATATATATTTTTCGAAATATTTTACGGGGAGAGGGGGCGGCCATTCCTTAACTCGCCAGAAGGCTGGCGACGGGCCTGTCGGTAGCACCGCCTCGATTCGCCTAAACGAGGTACAAGCTATTTCTTCTTATTAGGAACTCCCTATGTGTCTAGTAAGTTGGTCCGGTCTGTATAGATCGATTTGATTCCCGAAAGGATACCCTGTATAATATGGATCTGTTCCAACACGTTAAAAACCTTCCCGGGAACGGTTTCGAAACCACTTTGTAATACGAATGTCGGATTTTTGCAGGAATTTCAGGTTTTGCACAGAATTGTGACAGTACATTATAAGGTTTTTTTTATGTGCTGGGTTGGAACTGGAACAAAGCTAAAAGAAAGCCCAATAGGCATTGTGCGTCTACATGCTGCCTTTAGAGGCTCCTCTTTCAAATCAATCAATCAGGATATTTGTCATTCAAATTAAATAATAATAGATTTGTGCAGGAAACCGTACAAATTATCTACCGAAATTCGTATAAAAAGTGAATTCCAAACCATTCATTGGACCGTTTTCGAGGTGTGCTAATAAATTCCATTAAACAAATTGTGTATCAATAATATATTCGTTAAAGATTAATATACTTAGTTTACAAATATATTTTATATATGTAGGTATTATTACATTGATAACAACAATAAAAAAATCCTTTTCAATATCGTGAATAAAATCTCTCTTTAGGTAAATTGGCATAGTAGCATACATCAGCTTAAGCAAAGCCTATACGTTTGAAATTTTTCGCCCAACCAGGCCCATAAAACTTTCAATTTTTCCATTCCATTTCGCAATAAATAAATAATGGTTAATAGTCGTGTAAATCAATTTCAAGCCTTTGAAAAGCTTTATCAGTTAAAAATGTCCACTTGTACTTCAAAATTTGAGACACTTCATTTTCTACCAACTGGTAGGAACGACTGTTACATTTCAGCCAAGCATAAAATTCGTTTGACCAATCTGGGCTTTTGAGCCAATCGCATCTTATTATGACTGCATTGCCTCTGATATGCAGCCATTTCAAGTTGCGGCCAGTATAAGCTAGAAGTAAGACAGTTGAAGTGGAAATTCTTTCTGTGACTATCTAAAAATGATTTGAGGTGTCTATTTGATTGGCAATATAGTTATATAAATTATTTTTACGCACCAATGTGGATAAATATGTACAAGATCTAGCGAGCATAACTAAGTTTTCGTCATTTCTATCAGTAAATGCCTTGGCCATATGGAACCTGGGAATATTCATGTGACCATAAGTCCGTAAGTCCTGCTTGAAGAAATCTATGGTATTGATGAGTTGATCTGCTTTCAGCTACAACAAACGAACCAAAGCTGGGAAGTTTCAGAGTCCATTCTACTTGTGATGTATAGTTAGTCAAACCAGATTGAATAAGTTATTATACCAACCAAGTTTCTACTTTGAACTCAAAAAGCATAAAGGTTGATATAGGATTTTATATACATCGTTTATGAGTATTATTTATACAGGGCGTCCCAGAAGCTTGCCAGAAGGGTCAAAATAATATAGTGAATATCCCGGTATATGATAATTCTGAGTAGTAATTTAAATGAATGTGGATATGGCAGCAATAGCAAATTATTATAGTTGGATTCGAGCACATTTTTGCGAGTACTACCTATAAAACTTACCCCAATATGTGCAGAATTATAAACTACACTCCTGACAGGAGCACCTTCTTGCCATATGACGGATTTAAATTGTTTACTTTCAACTTGTAGATGCACATTTAAATCCTCTTTCGCTGATCTTATTTTCTTCCAACAATGTAGCCCTACGGGTTTGATGAACCCCTCGTCTATTGTGTATCTGTTTTGAACTATATGCAAATGTTTTAGGTTTGTAAAGCCTAAAAGTTCCACCAAGTCCTCTCCTAGGTTTTGCGGACTGATGTGCAGTTCCTAATTATATTATCAAATAACCAGATAATGAAAACATTTAATTTATACTTACCAACATATTCAAAAATACCCCAACGTGTAAAACTTGATAGGGGATCTTTGTAGCGTTAATCAAACTTAAGGTTTTCATAGTTAAACAGCAACCCTGACAAACTTGGTCTAATAAAAACTGTGCTTCACAGGGTTCTAATAACAAATCAGTTAGTTCTAAACTTTGCAACTTATTCAAATTGCCCATGAGTCTTTTAAGCCCAGCTAAAAGTTTGCCTCCAGTTCCAAATAACTTGATTCTATCATCATCTTCTCTGGTAGTCATATTACATGGGAAGGTGAATTTTAAATGTTCAATTTTTTGTCCTACGCCTACAATCGTACTTTTGGTGTCAACACTTTGCTCGATGTACCAAGATAAAATATTCATAAATTCGTATAAGTTAGAAAAATTCATCATTGGTTTTATTATAAGGTGTTTGATGTGCTTGCCAATTGTTTGTAGGCAAAGGGATGTTCTAAGATGGTCCAAAACGTACTAAAAAGCAATAGGTTTTTTAGTTAAGGATGGATATAAGTAAAAAAAATTGAAAAACTTACCTGCCAACCCAAATAATAATTGAATTTACTTCTCGTCAGAGTATGATCGTCCAAAGTAAATTCTCTCCATACAAAAGGCAAATAAAAAGCTCTGTTCCAATTTTTACACACGCAGCTAGCATAATATCTTTCTTTTATGGAGAGCTGGGTAAAAATGTTTTCCAATATCAAATCTGGTAAATCGCTCCATTGGGAATATTCATCCGAACTGCCTTCTGCTTGGTCTTGATCTATGAATATAGCTGCAAAATATTTTTGAAATGGCTGATGGTTATTTTTAATCTAGGAAAGGAAAGGTGGATAGTCCAAAATGAGAAAAAATACACAAAAAGATGATCAGCAAAAGCATTTGTTTCCTTATTGGTCATAGCACAAGTTGCAGCAAGATTAACTATAGGTGAATTTCAAAGATTTTTGTATGCCCAAATGTAATATAGGGATCCTTAAGGCTGCAGCACAGGAAAATTTAGCAAATTCTATCACCCAGCATTAGCAATTATCGCAATGTCTTTTTTTTTAATTAAAATTAAAGGAGGTAATAAGTAGGCTTTTAGACCTAGTTCGATTGATACAAGACCTTTTGGGTTGGTGTTAAGAGGTAATTTTTGGAACTAAATGAAAATTTATGTCAAACTACAGTAGGTGTTCGACTGAAAAAAGATGATTAACTCGTAGATTTTCGCCAAAAAATCAGAGCTACTTTTTTGGTGGGGCATACATTTATTTATATTTTAAGAAAAGCTAGCTTTAGACGTTTCAAGATGGAAAGCAGCAACAAATTAACAATTTCTAGAATCTACATAAAAACAATAATTTGATTGGCTACGCCGCCGTTGCGGTCTTGGGTACAAGGAGGGATGTTCTAAGGGAAGTTCCAGAGAGGGTGTTTTGATCAATTATTTTGATGCACATATTCCAATGGAATTCAGTAACTTCTTAAATCTTTCTATGGCATACTTGCTTGGCATATTTGTTCTGCTAAAGCATATTATTCTCTAAGTTTCCAATCTATTAATAATTTTCGTTTCAAAACCTTATTCAAATTAAAAATATGTTCAAAATTTCATTCAAGATTATGCATAATTTGGCAGTGTTCGAAATAGAAGATTTGTATTTAAAATCGTTAAAATCACACGAGCGTTTTATTATTTTATGGCTAAAATTTCATGAATATTGGCTAGAAACGCAAACTACATAAAAACAGTTTATTAGCTATTGAAACCAGAGTTTACAGTTCTCTGATTGGTTAGGTGGTACTGCACATGAATAAATCTTGATATTCCATCAGGACAATTTCCATTTTTAATAATTGACTCAGATAAGTTATTAATATCGAATTTGAAAGTGACTAGAATAAAATCGTACCCCTAAAATATGGCAAATCAATATTACACAGACGAATCTATTACAAGATTTTCTAGATTCTAGACATTCCTGGTTGTTTTTTTGATAGTTTTTGTTCAGGATTTTCAAAGACATGCAGTGATTGTGGATATATTTTCAATTGTGAATATGTCTTAATTTAGTGTATTGGAAATAGCTCACGAATATCAAACTTGGGAGGAACAAAACCACACAAAACCAGGCAAAAAAAGAAAAAAAAGACACCTACCACCTAGTACAAACACATTGTTTGCATGCCAAAATGAAAAATGTGTGTCTTGTTACACATTTTGCAAATGCTAAACTGCAACAAAAAAATAATGTCAGTGAAAAGATGAGAATAATAATGAAAGACAAATAGGGGATAATATAGTTGTCAGTACCTTTGCTGGAGGGCATGGATTTAGCCTTATTATACATTTCGTACCAGATTTTTTTGCTGAAACTGTGATGCCGGTCAGTTTTGGCCAAACGTGATTTTTCTGCCGCTAAAAACAGGAATAAAAATGTATGGATGAGTTTAAAAAATTTATCAGCAAGCGGTTTTTGGAACTGGTTTAAATAAATTAACACGTCACTTGTTAAAACTACAATTAATATTAAATGTCAGTCTAGATAATTCCAAAATGTGTACAGTCCACTCTTATACAAACTTGAAACTACCCGCGTTTTTAGTGGTAGGTATTTTTATTGGTAAGCGTTAGTTTTTTATTTTACTTACCCTCCTCATTCTCGTCAACAACCCAACCACCAGAATTCATTATTTTTTGCTTGTGTCACTAACAAAACCGGGACACTTTTCTAGGTTGACTAAAACAACGCGAGTTAAATAACCCGCTTGTTCTATTTGGTGTAATTTTAGACCGGCATCTAAATTTAGATTGCGTTTTATTCCCAGTGCAAGCAGTACGGCGGCTGGTCCCTGTCTTTATTTTGGTTTTATGTACTTATTATTTTTTCCTGTTCTTTTTGGCGACCTTACAAACAAAAAAAGAGTTATTTGTTTGCGGTGTTCGCCATGGTAAAATAAGAGCAATTCGATGGAAAAAGATATACTTAAATTAAAATTGCTATTTAGTATGAATGAGCTGACAAATTGCCCCTAGGGGAATGATTCCTGAGTTCAGGCATTGGCAATGTTCAGAAATCAAGCTGGCTGAACTTGATGTAGGAATTAGGAAAAATATTATTTATTAATTTTAAGTACTTACCACTTATCCTGGGCTTGTGCAAAATCCTTCTCATTTTACTCCAAATTTTCACAGCGCATGGTAAACCTACGAGAAAGAGCCTCAGTTGTCAGTAGGTTTTCTGTGAATAACTTTACAATGAAACTGTTGAAGCATCAACGCCCAATAATCTTACCAGCTCCTAGGATTTTTTAGATTGTCCCCTGCAAACTGAAATCATCACACAACAGAAAGTTTGGAAAGTCTATGGAAAAAAGCTATACAAGATTGTAAGTAAATCTCCAGTTGATTATTTCAAGTTAACATAATGTGGTTCAGTAGCATTTTTTGGGAATTGACGAGCCAATCCGATTCTACAACTCACATGCATCATAGGAATGTCTATCTAGCATTGTTTTGATCCAGATGTCGCTGGCGGAGCCTTGGCTGGCCTGACCCTACACAAAATGTAGAGTGCAAAAATACTTAACTTAAGAAATAACATTCAAGAGATATTTTCCACAAAAAAAAAAACAAAATCTTATAAAGAAAACTGTATTCTTAAGTAGAGCAAAAACATTGAGAAAACGATTAAATATGAATCTTATTGATAAACTTAAAGTAAAAAGTAACAAAACAATTATGTCTGATGCCTTGTAACTTGTAACCCTGTTTGGGGCATCAGAAATAGAAAGTGTGAAAAAACCTGAATAAATAATAAATTTTCTGTCTGATCCCATGTTACTTTTAACCCTGTTTCGAAGGCATCAGAGACAAAAAGTGTAAAAAAGCTTAAATAAAGAATACTTGCTTAACTTAAGGATCATAATTATTGTAACTAAATGGTTTTCATAAGACTTACATTTAGTCGAAGTATAAAAAATATATTGTAAGCCTTCACCATATAGGACCTTTAATAATAATCAATTGACTGGCTATAAGAATGGAATGCATTGACCATACGATTTTCATTATACATTTTTTTGAAAACTTTTCAGTTACAATAATCTTGGAATAGTATAACAAAATGTATTGTACAAAAAATATTTCAATAGGCTCATCAATGACAGACAGCAAGTTTTCAAGAAAAGTTTTGTACTTAATTATGATCCAATACAATCCAGACTAAATTAACTTTGAAAACAGATATTATGAGGTCAATTTGTTAACAAAAATAAAACAAAATTGAATAGATTTTCAGCAATGTAAACAAAATAAAATGAAATGAGCCCATCAAAACCACCCTCAACATTCAAACAATTAAATAAAACATCCTCCAATTTTATGAAAAACTTATCAAATTAAAAAATACATATACGTTATTCCTGTGTGCTTTTCCACAAAGCTATAATTACTTGCTTCGATCTTCGATTAAGAGACCCGCATCTATTTTTTTTTTATTTTAGAAAGAAACAAGCATTATTCTGAAGTAGGCCAAAAATATTTATTTTTTATCTACACTGGATTTTGTTTTTTTTTAGGAGCTAGAGCTAGAGGCAGCACTAGAGCTAGAGACTGCACTTTCTTTCTCTTCTTCAGTCTTTTGACGTTTTGTGTCGGGCGCTTCCGAGCCAGCTTCACTCTGTGGACTTGCGGCGCGTTTCTTCATTGTATTGTTGAATCTGACAATTATGGCTGTCATGTTGTCACAGCCAGTACCGTCTCCCAATGTGTCAGGAGCCAAACAGTGGTCAAACATCTGAAAAAAGTGTGTGTGTTAATATATGGTGCTGTGATGATAAAAAAATTGATTGTAATCCACTAAGGTATGATGGTAGTTACACTGATGAGTTTTTTTTACAATTTCTCATGTATCTCCAGATATAAAAATAGCTGTGTCATATCATCAGAAATATTGAGACAGTCGATTTGTCATCTTTGGTACTGAGATTACCATTTGCACAAATTCTGGTATTTTCAAAATATTACTGAAAAATTAAAGTCAAACTTACCTCCTCGCATATCTGCGAAAGTTTATCTTTATTAGCTGAGTTGGCTCGCACAAAATCTACAACTTCTTGACTGGTCATGAAGTTCCATATACCATCACAAGCAAGTACCATAAATTCGTCTTCTGCAGGGTTTATCGTAACTTTCTTAACATCTGGAAGAGCTGAAAAACAAAAAAATTTAGAAGACATTTTTAGGGTTTTTAAAATATGTATTCTATTCTATCTAGGTTTTGAAAAAATTATAGAACAAACATCTTTATCCTCCCCATTTATCACAAACTTGGACTAAATGCCAGAACATTTCCCAGTTTTTTTTTTTTTTTAATTTTGAGTGCCATTTCTGAATGTTTTTTCTCATTTTCATCCATAAAATCATATTTTGTTAATTTAAATTCATACCTGTAATCATTTGTTCTTTATCAGAGAGTTCTTTGTTTTGCTTGTATGCGTGATCTCCAATGGCCCTACTTAAATTTAGTCCACCGTTGACTCTGCCATCGTTCGTCACTTTACCTCCGGCATTTTGTATCCTCGACCTTTCTAACCACTCTTCTGGCTTGTGATCAGCAGACATGTCAATGGCTTCACCTGAAATTTGGCATTCATACTAATACAAATTTTTATTTTATTTTTTTCATTATTTATGTGTTAGTTATTAGAGCCTAATCAGTGTAAAACAAGGGTACACACACATAAATGAAATATATTTAGCAAATATTCTTACCATTTCTACAAATAATACATCGAGAATCCCCAGCATTAGCCACATATAAATCGCAGCCTTTCAGGATGGCTACTACTGCAGTACATCCACTGTCAGATCCAGGTTCTTCTTTTATGTTTTCAGTGAAATCCGAGTCCTACGGAAAGATACATCGAAATACAATAAAGCCACTATTGGATCTGGAATTTACATATTTGAAGTTATTTAACCATTTTGTTTATTTACGCTTTATTTAATAAGAAACATCCAGTCCTCTGGATCACCAAAGGGGTTGTTGTTGGCATTTTTGTGAATGAATGTTTTCCTAAATTCAGCTATTTCAATCAAGATGAGAATTGGTGAATTAAAAAAAGTTAATATCTCCGTTACTATAACGGCAAATTTTCAACTTTGAAAGAAGGTACTACAGGAATCTAAAGTAAGGTTATGCAAGAGAGTTGCTTACGAATTTTGCTACTCTTAAACTTGAAAATCTTGAGTTTTTTTTTAAATATCGCCGCATTTTATGCGTTAATAACACAGGCCTACAATTTTTTGTTTTTGTTTTGGTGCAGTTCCGTTCTTATCTGTAGTTGGTAAGGTTGTTGATATACTATTAATCACGAATATTTATTCTCACGAGTCAGTTCGAGTTTAGTACCAATCGTTGTTTTTTAAGTTTTACGGTCCTACGTGGCAATATTTAAGTTTTACGGTTGTACCGGAGAAAAAAGTGGTTTTATTCCATGATGGCTAGTAAGATGAGGCGTTGTATTAACGACCCTGATAAATTTTGTTACGTTTGTGGTGAATACATTCTCAAAGATCAGCGAAAAATGATATCAGATAATGTAATTCGCCTTTATTTTGCTTATTTTGGTATTGAAATTCACGATCAGGATAAATCATGGGTGCCTCATATTGTGTGTAAAATGTGCACTGAACATCTGCGACAATGGGCGAATGGTACAAGGAAATCTTTAAAATTTGGAGTGCCTATGATTTGGAAGGAACAAAAAAATCATCACGACGACTGTTACTTCTGTATGGTAAATATAGTGGGGATCAACAAGAACAATCGCCATAAATGGAAATATCCTAATGTATCTTCAGCGAGAAGACCAACTTCCCATTCAGAAGATATCCCAATACCAGTTTTTAGGCAGCTATCCGACTCTCAGGAGGGAGAAGTTCAAACATCTAGTGTTTCAAATATGAGCGACTATTCTGAGTATTGCGACGAATCTGTCAATCCGAATCCCATACCATTTTCACAAAGTGAGCTCAATGACCTCATCAGAGACTTAGATCTTTCGAAGGAGCGGGCCGAGTTGTTAGCATCAAGATTAAAGGAAAAGAATTGTGTAACCTCTGATGTTAAAGTTACTCTATATCGGAGAAGAGAACAAGACTTATTGCAATTTTTTTCTTCTGATGAAAATTTGGTATATTGTAGCAATGTAAACGGCCTATTAACTTTCATGGGCTTGGAGGTATATCAGGCAAGTGATTGGCGTCTTTTTATTGACAGTAGCAAACGGAGTCTGAAGGCTGTTCTTCTACATAACGGCAATAAATATGCATCCATTCCAATTGCCCACTCCACTACTATGAAAGAAGAATATCAGACAATCTCCATACTTCTACAGAAAATAAAATACGTTGAACATAACTGGGTGATATGTGTTGACTTGAAGATGGTTAATTTTTTGTTGGGTCAACAGAGTGGCTATACAAAATACCCATGTTTTATTTGTCTTTGGGACAGTCGAGACAAATCAAGACATTGGATCCAAAAAGAGTGGCAAGCACGAGATAGTTTAGTTGTTGGTGAGAAAAATGTTATTAAAGAGCCTTTGGTGCCTCGAGAAAAAATTATCCTTCCGCCCTTGCATATAAAATTAGGACTTATAAAGCAGTATATCAAGGCGCTGGACAAAAATGGTCCTTGTTATAACTTTATCTGTCAAAAATTTCCTGCAGTAAGTAGTGAAAAATTGAAAGCAGGTATTTTGGATGGACCTCAGATTCGTTTGTTAATGAAAGACTCTGCCAATTTTGAAAAGTTTATGACAGATATTGAACGACTTGCCTGGAAATCATTTGTAGCTGTTACCAATAATTTTCTTGGAAATGTTAAGGCTGCAAACTATGAAGAGATTGTTACTGAAATGCTTCATAACTTTCGAAATTTAGGCTGTCATATGAGCATAAAAGTACACTATCTCCATAGCCACATAGATCAATATCAACATAATTTGGGAGATCTCAGTGACGAGCAAGGAGAACGCTTTCATCAAGACATAAAAAACATTGAAAAAAGATATCAAGGGAGGTGGGACATCCATATGATGGCAGACTATTGCTGGGGTCTTGAACGTGATTGTCCAACACGAAAGTTTTCGAGAAAATCACTTAAAAGACAATTTCTTGATGTAAAAAATTGAAATAGAACGATTTTTTCGTAAAATTGCATTTTTTTTTATATTGCATAAACTAAAGCTGATGGGAGAAAAACAATAGTGGTTTTCCAATCACATTATTAGGCATACCCAAAATTAGGTCTCACATCTCTGGCACCAAATTGAGTGTAGGCCTGTGTAATCATTGAGGAATGTGTTGTTATTCGAAACATTAGGCGTTTTTTTTTGGACAAAGTGGAAAATTAGTGTTTCACATAAGTGAGACTAAATTGTCGCAGGTGTGCTATACTATAAATGCAAAAAACCATGTGATCTAAAGGAGGAAAGGGGCAAACTCTTCGGTTACCCATGCGATTTTTGCAAGGAAATAATTTGTAGCGAGTGTACTGGTCTAATGGCACAGGAAGCACAGTTGTTCCAAGCCCATCACATTATATTTTTGTCCTGAATGCAAGGAAGGTATAAAAAAATTACCCAGTATGCAGCAGCAAGCACAAAACACTGAAAATGAACTAAAAGCAACAATAGAGCAAAGTGATAACACGGCAAAAACCTTGGCAGCCCTTAAGACAGAGGTGGATTCGCTTAAAGGCTCAATGGAGCGGAGAAGAAAGGAAAATGAAGTTATGAGAAGGGAAATAGTCAGGTCAAGAATGAGATGCACTGAAGAAGCTAGAAAAACAAGAAGAGGTAATTAAAACACCACAAACAGCCATTGAACCAACTCTTATTGAACTGAAAGAGAGAGAATATTGTGCCACCAACGTTTTAATATTTGCAGTTGAATAGTCAGAAAAAAATAACCCTCAAGAAAAAGCAATAGAAGATAGAGAGGTAGTTACAGTGTTATTTTCAACAATGAATATTGTTCTGGCAGAAACAGCAAAAGTATTCACCAGTAATGTTTTTAGGAGTGAAACTGGATTCAAAGCTTTTATGGGGTGCCCACATCGAATATTATTATTATAATTATTATTATTGTTCATCAATAGCAATCGGAAAATCCGATGAAGCTATTGTTCTAGTCTCTTTACTTAATATGATTGTTCGTCGTGATTATAATAATAATAATAATAATATTTATTAATAGCTTGAAGCTAACATGTATAATATTTAGAGTTACAGTACAAATTTTTTATTATAGTGCAATATTCTCTTTCACATATCTAAAGCAGTCCCTTTTAAATGAATTTAGACTTTCACAGTTCTTCACGTGGTTTGGTAGATCATTGTATAGTATCAGTCCTTTATGGAACAAGTTCTTCTGGTCGAATGTTCTATGCACAGTTCTAACATAAAAGTTGTTTGTCGATCTTGTGAAATGATTATGTATATCCTGTACATTAACGCAGTTGTCAAGCAAATGACTAGGCACCAGTCCATGAACCATTTTGTCAATAAATACCAGTGTATTATAATTTATTGACTGCCGAACACTTAAAATACCAACAGTATCCAACATTGTTTTTATGTTTGCATATGTATTTGTGTCCAAAATAATGCGAAGAGCTTGATTTTGTCTTTTTTGCATTGTATTGATTTCAGTGTTGTTTAGGAGAAACAATATTGTTGGGCAGTAATTAAAGTCTTGTATACTAGAAGTTTGGACCATTCACTCAATGTTTTTCTCATTCTGCCCAAGGCGTTTACCCTACTAGCAATTTTGCTAGTTATATAGGATGAGTGTTTCGAAAATGTTAAATGTTCATCTATAATAACACCAAGATATTTAAACTCCTTTACTCGTTCAATTTCAATCCCATTTACTGTCATGCCTGGATGCTGTGTCACATCTATTGTGTTCGTCCTAGTTCTAATCAACATAAATTTGGTCTTTTCAATATTAAGGCTTAGATTGTTCTTATTTAACCATATAGCTAAGTTCTCCATTTCTTTATTTAGGGTGTTCACCATAGTGTTTATATTGTTACCAGCACAATATAACAACGTGTCATCTGCAAATAGTTGTATCTGACAGTCCTTTATACAGTTTACAATATCATTTATATACATCACAAATAAATTTGGTCCCATCACTGTTCCCTGAGGCACACCGCAGAAGGTATCTCTCAAAGAAGACTCACCCTCGCCAAGTCTGGTTTTTTGACTTCTTCCAAACAAATAACTTTCTATCCACTGAAGCACTTTATTTTGAATGCCGTACTTTTCCAGTTTGATGATTAACAGCTGTCTATCAATTGTCTCAAATGCTCTTCGGAAGTCGAGCAATAATGCCCCTATCACCAAATTGTCCTTCAATGAATCCTTCCATTTTGCTAGCACTGTCTGTAGTGCACTCTCACACGAATTATTTATTCTGAAACCTGCCTGATAGCATGTCAAAATTTTATTGTTTTCGACATAATTTACAAGTTGGCTATTGATAACAAGTTCCAGGAGTTTTTCATAGGTGGGAACCATGTTTATTGGACGATAGTCCTGACATAACTTGGAATTCTTTTTTTTTTTCTATTGGTATAATAGAGGATGTTTTCCATCCATCAGGGAATTTTCCATTCTCTATACTTGTGTTTATAACTTGTAAAAAATGATGACCTATGGCTTCAAATGATGATTTTAAAATCCTTGTGTTTATCCCATCCACGCTGCTTGTTTTATTTTTCATGCCCGTTACAATTTTCTTTAGTTCTATAAACTCCACTTTTTTAAATGTTCCTAAATAACTATCTGCTTGTTGTATAGCAGAAGCAACTTCTTTGTAAGTAGTATTATT